TTGTTCTGTTATGTTTTAAGTTACTTGATTTGTCATATCAATAGTTAGTTATGTTTTGGATGTTAATGGTGTAGGTTGTATCTTGTAGTTTATCCTCGTCGCCTTACGTGAGTAAGGCCAAAAGGGTCAACGTCAAATAAATAATAATAAAAAGTGTCCACGATTTAAACGTGAGTAAAAACAAAAATAAAATACATTGTGTAATAGCGGATTAAAGACAAAAATAATCATTAACATGAAATAAATAAACATTAACATGAAACATTTTCAATAAACATATGGCACATTTACTTGTTTTTTGAATTAACATGAAACATAATGAAACAATAATCAAATCTATTAAGTTTTGTCTAAAGCTACTAAGATTTAAAATTAATAAATTCGTTCATTTTTAAATAAACTTTAATATTTAATAGAGTATATTTTATATTTAAATGCAAGAAATTTTATTGAAGTAAATATTTTTAATAATAATTGATAAATTTAACTAATATATTTCTAAACTTAAACTTAACAAGAGTAGAATTTAGTATACCATAGTATCAATATTGGACAAGTTGTCTTCACTGAATTTGAATAAACAAATCCAAAACTATCCTTGGGTATTTTAAAATTAAATAATTATTTTGTGTGTATTTAAGGTTAAAAAAAAATGGCAGAGAACACAGGAATTAAACATTTTTTTTGCGAGTCCATTGACAAGGCAACGAGTGGGAGAAATGGCTCCGTGCTCTGAAATTATACCTAGATGCAGAAGATATTAGTGACCCTGGTTGGAAGAAAAGCAAATTGTTACACCTTGGAGGACCACAACTGCAAGAAGTGGCCTTTAATATACCAGGAGCATTGGTAGAAGGTAACAATGAAGAAAACAAAAACGTATTTGAAATATTGGTCGACAAACTAACAGAGTACTTTTCACCATAACGCAATTCCACTTTTGAGCGACATCTATTTCGCAGCATGAAACCAATTCAGAACGAGGGACTAAGCAAATTTCTTGTGCGCATCCGTCAACAAGCAGCCAAATGTACATTTGGGGAAACAGCTCAAGAAGCCATGGAGATCGGCTTAAAAGACAAATTAATTGATAACTGGGCATCAGCGGACTTAAAAAAGAGAGAGAGAAGGAATACACTTTACCGGAAATTATTGATCTTTGCCGAATTCATGAAGAAATCACAAGTCAATCTGAGATAATGCAGTCTAGAGCAAATACTGAAGCAGAAACCTCCTCCAGCCAAATCAACAGAATCACAAGTCGCCATGGATGTAATAAGTACATGAATAGTGAATGCATTTGTTGTGGGCGAAAGGACCTTCATGCGTCCGATAACAAATGCTCAGCACAGAAGGTCACATGTCACACATGCGGCGCCGTAGGACATTTTGCTGCAAGATGCCGAACGAGACCCGAAAATCGGCATTTTAGAAGTGCAAATCAGACACAAACAGGCCCACAGGCAAAAAGGAGGAGGATGAGATCTACTGTAAACCACATTAGTACCAATGCGAGAGCCGAAGAAAATTTAGACGCAAACGACAGTATATCGGAGTTTGACTGCTTTCAAATCACTGCAAAACGTGTTCGAAATAGCCAATACAGCCAGCAAATGGGTGAAGACGACGATAGCGAATTAATTGAGTGTGTTATTGGAGGGATTGCTATACTTATGCTTATAGATTCGGGATCGATGGCTAATGTGCTTAGCGGCGCTGACTGGGACATACTACAACAACAACGGGCAGCAATATGGAATGTTAACCTAGATAACGGTAATAGACTAACTCCCTATGGGTCTAAAGAACCGTTAAATCCTAAATGCCACTTTACAGATTGCATCAGTGTCAAGACAGGACAAGAAGTAATTGCACCATTCTACGTCATAGAAAAGGGTAACATATCTCTATTGGGAAAAACTACAGCGATGCGATTGGGTGTATTAAAACTAGGAATTAATGCACTACAAAAAGATATTAAACCATTCCCGAAAATAAAAGGCGTACAAGTCCAACTTAAAATTGACCGATCGGTTAGACCAGTACGCCAGCCAGTGAGACGAATACCTATCTCAGTTGAAAAAGCCGTCGAGGATAAATTAAACGAGGCCCTTCAAAAAGACATCATTGAACGTGTGGAAAAGCCAAGTTCTTGGATATCTCCAATTGTGGTCATTTTTAAACCAAGTGGTGGCATTCGCATATGCGTTGATATGCGTAGGGCGAACGAATCTATTAAGAGGGAGAACTACCCCCTTCCCACGTTCGACTCGTTTATGACGAAGTTAAGAAACGCAAAGTATTTTTCACGACTGGATATGGAAAATGCATATCATCAATTGAAACTGAATCAGAGTTGTAGGGACATTACTACTTTTATTACACACAAAGGTAGATTCCGTTACAAACGGCTGATGTTCGGTGTCAATTCCGCACCAGAAATCTTTCAGCGTATTTTCGAAGAACTACTAGCGGAGTGTGATAATTGCCTCAACTATCTTGATGATATTATATTATTTGGGTCCTCGGAAGAAAAACACGACAAATGTTTAAAAAAAGTAAGATACGTACTACAGGAGAACAACGTGCAACTAAACAAGGACAAATGTCTGATCAAAACTAAAGAATTACAGTTTTTGGGCCATACACTAACTACCAGTGGCATCAAGGCTGATGCAGCAAAAATAACTACAGTACAGGAGTTTCGAGCACCTACCACGAAAGAAGAAACGCGTAGTTTTTTAGGCTTGGTGACATATGTAGGAAAATTTATACCTGATTTGGGAACATTAATAGAACCACTTCGACGTTTGACTCGTTCATTTCGGTTATGATTCATTTGTAGTTCTAACTCGCAAACGAACTAATGACTGATGTATATACCTCATTTTCATTTTACATGTAGACAGGCTGCATTTGGTTTTTAAGAGTGGGAGAATAATTTTTAAGAGTGGGAGACGCCGAGTTTTCAGCGCTGCCAGATTTGGGGTTTTTACCACAAAATGGGGGATTTCATGTGGCTTTGGGGAAACTTTAGGGTAATGCTCATTTTTGGGTATTATGTTTTTTTTAGGAAATTCCAGAAACTTATTTGATGTTTATGTAGATTATCTAGTTAAATTTGAATAACTGTTTACGAACCAAAACACTGTGTTATATTGGTTTATAGATTTCCTTCCTTCCTGTAAAAGATGAACAATACAAAAACCGGTGTGCTGTTTATAGATCCCCGTACGGAAATCTATAAATGGCACTACGATTTTCGTATTGTTCATATTTTACGGGAGGAAGGAAGGCAATCTATAAATCAGGCTTAGTGTATTCTTCATTTTAGAAGTTTTTAAATTTTTCACATGGATCCTACACAAGGAGCCTGAACCTAATAGGGGAAATTGACAAAACCTGCCCTCTAAATTGCACAAATTAAGTCTATTTTATCACCACCAGCGGCGCTGATTGTCGATGTGTCTGCTCTTTTGGTAGCGTTTTGGTACAAATCAAACAATTGTTTATTAATCAACGGAACACCAGCGCCCTTTTATTTTGGGAAGATTCTTTTTTACATGAACTTCGGACTCCTTGTGTAGTAGGCTCCATGGTTCTTCATATATCCCGATGGGGTATTTTGGATTTTGACTTTAGGCAACCCAGATGAAAAACAGCGTTTTTTTTTTCGTAAGAAGTTGGCAGAACTTTCTCTGAAGTGGTATTCAGTACAATTTTTATTTACGAATTTTTTTTTAGTGTGTATTTAAGCGTACAAATTGGCAAATCGTTTTTCCCGATTTTCTATTTTGGTGTTTTTAGCTGCAACATTTGGGGGAAATTTAAGTTTTCAATCTGGCAGCGCTGACAGATTTAGTAATTTATGCTTCACCGGCGTTAGGTTATAGTCGGCTGGATTATTAATACGAATTAGGTATTATTAAGTTAATTTACTTTTAAAAATGATTAACAGTAAATTATTAATTAAAAGGTGTAAAATTATTATTTGTTTTGCATTTAACTAAAAGTGTTTTCTTATAAAAAAAACTTTTAAACATAAAAAATTTTCTTTTAAAACTAAAATAAATCAATTCTCTTAAAACAAAATTACAAACTTCTTAAAATAAATGTAAATAAATAATTAATTTAAAATCAATATATGTTAAAATGCCTAAAGTGCACACTAACAAATGCAAATTATAACTGTATCGTCGCCTATAGAAATCCGCAATCTGGGGAGGGGCATCTGGGGAGGTGCATCTAGGAAGGGGCGATCGGCCCCACTCAGCTTCACTCGAGTGTATATGTTTCATGCACTGGCTATGAGAGAAATAGATAAAGAAAATGTGTGCTCGCACCTCTATCTCTATTGCCCCTACAGTAATATAGGAAACGTAACTTTCTCTTTTTCTATCTTCACTAACTTAAATCTCCCTCTCAACTTCCGTTGGCCTCGCCCGATCACACTTTTCGTAACGCTCTCGTCACGCATTCACCAGCTTACTCCCCAAGTCAAGCGTGCATTTTTCTTAAAAAAAAATTGGAGATGGCCGCTTTTGAAATGACTCAATCATACGCTGTGTCTACAGTCCCGATCCGACTGACGACATGATTTTACGATTTTATGTAATTGTTACGATAAAACTAAAACAGACCAACCAACCCAACATCCAACCCGAAACCCAACCAAACACTTTTCAACAAAGGAATATTTATTTAAATACATATTTTATTATATAACTGTAGCAGGGTACTAATTTAAAATAATAATGTAAAATTATATATTGATGCTTTTAAGGCCACATTGTATTAGTTCGCTATGTAAATTCATTAAATAAAAATAAAAGTTGTAGAGGCGCAGTCGAACCCGGTACCTCTCGCATGAAAAGCGGGAGCTGTTCCATATGAGCAACTAAATTTCCTGTCGCTCGGAAAACAATACCGATTTACAGTGTATGAAGTTAAATTATGACGTCAGTCGGAATCAAACTTGACACAATGATAATTATAATACTTACTTATTATAATAATATTTATTAATTCCTTGTTGTGATATTGAAATTAATATATAAAGATGTTTATATAAAATAAATTTAAAGGAGTTTTGGAATAAATTAAAAGCAAGGCTTAATATGTAATTTATTTTAAATTTTATAACTAAACTTTTTCCGAAATAGTTCCCAGAGTTATCTTATCAAATTGTGATTTACATTCAATATATTGTTGAGCCAACGGATTTACAATTACATTAGGTTCTCTTTTCATTTTTGGATAACCTTCTAAAAAGTATGTTTCCATTGATCCTTTTCCTTTTACTTCAATAGTTCCTCTACATGTGAGAGGATATCCTTTAGAATATAAAATTTGATATACTTCTTGAGTAACCTATAAAAATATTAATATGTAAAATGGTTAAAGACTATAGTTGCCATTGGCCATACGTTTCTTAAAAGCAGTATAATTAAATTCATACTGTCAATATGCTTAAAATTACTTCGAAACTAACATATTATTTTATTGTAATATTAATTGCATTTATATCTAACAACCATGAAGGCCAACTAAAAATGTATAACTAACTACTTACTCACCTGAATTTTATCGCAAAGTCCTGTACTATCCATACGACTAGCTACATTTACTGCGTTTCCCCAAATATCATATTGTGGCTTTCTTGCACCAATTACTCCCGCTACTACAGGTCCCACATTTATTCCTATTCTTATTCTAAAAATTAAACAAACATGTTCTTATCTCTTCAAAAATTATTTTTATGTAAGCTCCAGAAAGTACCCCAAAATAATATTAATAATTCCCAGCACCATACAGATAAATATTTTGTATACCATAATAAGCATAGTACGATACGCATTTGGGTTTTGTATTGTCTTTATGGCGACAGTACGATACATATCAACAGTACCCCTGTTGAAAATGACCAATTAATTCCTTATAGAAACCAATTGAAGTATTGGTTGGTATCAATAGGTCTAAATTGGACTTACTGGGTTTAATTGGGAGCGATATAAAACAGAAATTGGTTTTTACTGGTATTTTCCATGATGGAAAAATCCGATTAGGATTCTACTGTGTTTTAGTGGTTTCGATTGGTTAAAGCTACCAATAGGTAATTTACAATTGAATTCAATTGGGCATTTCCAGTGTAAGATTCTAGAAAGGAATCTTCTAATTGGTTATTCCCAATACTTAAAATATGGAAAAGTCCAATTTGGATTCTACTGTTTTTATTGGTTTCGATTGGTTAAAGCTACCAATAGGTAATTTCCAATTGAATTCAATTGTGCATTCCCAGTGTAAGTTTCTAAAAAGGAATCTGCTGATTGAATATTTTCAATACCCAAAATATCGCAAGAGGGCTCTCGTGTAGCTGCGCAAAACCAACGTACGCAGTCCTTGTTCGAATGCTTGAGACGCCATCATAAAGAAACAAACAAGTCTTTGGACGCTATTTAATGTCGTTTTTTATTATTCGGTTTCTTTTATAATCTATGGGTTTCTGTGCTTAGTGGTAGTTGTGTACTTATAGTGGTGTGTACTTATACCTTAAAAAATGTTTATGTGTAGGGTTTAGGGACGATGGCGTGAAAACGGTGGTTTCAGCGGGCAAAATAAAAAAAAATTGACATAAATAATATTGATTTCGACTATGCCTAAAAACATCCTTTGCAAGAAAGACAAAAAAATTATTATAACCGAGTAATTTTTTTTATTACTTTTTTGTGTTGTATCAATACATATCTCACTAACACAAAAAGATAAAGTTAAAGTTAACTGCAGTTATAATAATTTTTTGTCTCTTCAGTGAAAAATGAATTCTGGTTTTTACCCGGATATTCTTCTGGGATCTTAATTATTTTTGAATGAAAAATCAACTAATATTTAAAAAAAAATTGGTTTGAATAGGTTTGGCTCTATGAATCACCAATTCATTCCATGTGCATTTCTATTGGATTTAGCCAATAGAGACAAGCAGCATGGATTGGTATATTCCAATTTAAGCCGCTGACTTCATTGGAATGCAACTGGAATGAATTGGTGATTCATAGCGCCAAAACACATTTCAAACCAATTCAAACCAATACTTTTTTTATTAGATTCTATCGGTCATTTACAATATAATTTATGATCCGAATTTTTCTTAAAATTTTGACAAATAGAAAAAATACTTTTTATCGAAAATCAAAATATCGAAAATACAAAACGTCGAAAATCAAAATATAGAAAATTCAAAATGTCGAAAATGATAATATCGAAAATTAAAATGTCGATTTGAAAATGTCGAATAATTAAAATATCGAAAATTAAAATATCGATTTGAAAATATCGAATAAATAAAATATCGAAAATTAAAATGTATGATTAAAATAGTATGTCGATTAATTGAAATATTTAAACAAAATATCAAATTCAAAATAAGAAAATATGGTTTAGTTTCACATTAATTGTAAAAATAAAAGTAAGAATAATAACCCCAGGTACTAAATAAAAAATTAACTTTATTAAAAATTAAAACAAAAAAATAAATACTTATAGAATAAGAGCTATGGTTTTTAAATAATTTAATAAAATATGTTGTTCATTTTGATAATTGTCTTGAAAGTTGCTTACAAGCGTCTTTAACCTTTCTGAATTACTTTCGGCCTTTTTTGGCTTTAAAATTGTTACGCCACACATCCTCTGAGATATTTTCATTTCCGACAGCCCCTGCTCATTTAAAATACCTTCGAGAAACTTCCATATATATGGTTTTTTAGCTGAAAATTGATGGTTTATACTTCTGTGCCACGATTCAACTAAACTGCGCACCACTCAATGTGTCGCGACCAAAAAGTTCGTTCTTTTTTAAAACGACATAACTTTTTTGCTTCTTGAACGATTTTATTTTGGTCTGTAATGTCTCCTAGCCCCATCCTCTGGCAATTCATGTAATAGATATGAAGCTCAAGGTTCTTCAAGTAAATTTCCTACAGGGTGATATGTTAAACGATGAAAATTGTTAATAACTTCATCCAAGCCCCGTTTTTTCTTCCAAAAGATATACATTAAAGTAGGCAATTTAACAGCCGGGAATTGTTTTAGAATTTTGATTCTTAGTGATTTTGGTTTTATCTGAAACTTAAATTTAACAACTGAATCACAATCAGGAGGTCAAAAACATGTCACGAACATAAATATCGGTTCAGGATTGGTTTTCGCAAATTTTCGCCAAAATGTCATTTTGAAAAAGTGGTCTTTGCTTAGGCCCCTCTAAAAATAATGGAAGTTTGTTGCTTGTCTCTTGTTCAGAATTATTCAAGGAACAATCTTTCACCATCTTATCTCCTTGTTCTTAAAAAGACTGAGTGTATTGCCTACCAAAAAGCCTTAAATGTACTCTATAAAAAAAAAATCATATTTTCTTTGCTAAGATTCCAATACGAAAAAATTGAAAACCTTTTCAAGCTAAGACATAATACTTCATTATTTCAAAGTAAAAACGAGAAAAAAAATATTTTTTTACAAACGGGGCTTGGATGAAGTTATTGAAATTTTTGACCATTTTACATATCACCCTGTACGAAATTTACTTGAAGAACCGTGAGCTTCATATCTATAGCATGAATTGCCAGATGATGGGGCTAGCAGAAATCACAGACCAAAATAAAATCGTTCAAGAAACAAAAAAGTTATGTTGTTTTGAAAAAGGACGAACTTTTTGGTCGCGACACATTGAGTGGTGCGCAGTTTATATTATTGGTTTTTTGTTGACCGGTCAATGTCATATCGTAAAAATTCCATAGCTGATGCTCAAATGTTGGTTTCTTTCTTTCATCAAGCCTTTCGCGGCGGCCCACCCATGTATCTTCAAAGTAATTCAAAATAACTTTTCCTTCATGTCGGATGATACCCTTTTTTGCAATTAAATCAAATGCATACATAACACACATGATTTACGGGTACGAAAGCAATAGCGACCAGTATTTTAATTTCCGACTGAAATGTCACGTCACTGTCATACAGTTTCTTTAGTCCAGAGGAGCAAACTTTTAGTAAATACTTTGCTTGAAATGGAACTAACATCCTTTATTAGTTGCCAGTGGAAACAAAAGCTTTGAGGCTGCTATGGCAGCTATTTCAAAATCGGACATTATAGTTTTTACTTTTGGTGAAGTTAATGATTTTCTTAATACCTCAAATGTGGTAATGTGGCTTTTTTAGTTTTATTTGGCAAAAGTGCATATACCAAGGCATAATACTCTTCGTTAAATTTTGCGTGAATGGTGTACATTTGGTAAAAAAACAAAGGAACACATTGGAAAGTACCATCAATGTACCATTCACTACTTTGATTTAAAATTGATAAATTACTATTAGTACTGAATATAAGTATCCTATTTTTATCTTTTGAATCGAATAAAAGAAAATTCTCACCTTTTTTTGTCTTCGTTAATTCTTCAGGAACGTACTATCGTACTTGGAACACTAATTCCTTTATTTTTTTGTTGTCTTGTACGGCGCACACATAACCTCACCAGCTTCAGAACACTTCGCGGGATGTAGTACCATCAGATTTAATTGCGTTGATTATTTTGAAAGATTCAAATTTTTGAGGATTACCTTCATGATTTTGATCATTCTTAAAATTGTAATCTGTATTTTTATTTATTATTCTAGCCTTGCACCCATTTGTGTAGTTGGTGCACCTCCAGTAGTTTGTCTCGCCTCTACTTTTTTCTTGGGTAAAAAAAATCCATTTAAATAAATTTGCTTTTTGCCTTTTTAATTTAAAACGAATTGAATATCGTTTTTGTCCATAATGTTGATTAAACTTTGACTTAAAATATTTAAATAACAACAGTTATTTTTATTGTCATGGTGTTCCGTTAAAAAGCCTACTTCTACTGCTATATATTTTGTGTTAGCAAAAATAAAATTTGTTGATTACCATAATATGGAGTTTGGGTTTGTGTTGTTTTTTTTCTGTGAAAAATAGGGAAGTGGATCAGTAGGGACGAGTGGGGGATGATATGTATGGTGCGGAGTGTGGGGGTGATATGTTGCTCTTTCGATATTTTAATTTTTAATATTCTGTAATTTCGATATTTTATATGTCCATATTATTATAATCGATATTTTAAGCAGCCGATTTTATTATCGATAAATTGAAAATTCGATTAAATAAAATTTCGATATTTTCATTTCGACATTTTATATTTTCGATATTTTGATTTTCGACATTTTGTATTTTCGATAAAAAGTGTTCGATATTTTGAATTCGATAAAGTGAATTTCGATATTATGAACGTCACCCATTTTTTCGCACTCGTCCTCTTTGCCGCTCTTTTTGTAAATTGTTCTCGTGCAAAAAATAACGTTTTATGGCATTCGTTTTTTAATATACTATATATGAGGCTATACGTACTCATATACTGTAAAAATTAATACAGATTTAAGATAAATATAGTATTATTATTATATAAAATATCATTTATATTAAAGGAGCTATCTTTTTAAACGAAGTATTTAAATTATTACCCATTAAGCATGCTTTCAAGGCAGCTTGAATGTGCCATAGTCATAGCGTTTTATTTAAACTACAAAATATGCCATTAACATGATATACAGTGTTGGCCATAATTTTTGCAACCACTGTAAAAAAGAACCCCAGGTAGCACACTGACGTCTGCTGACGTTTAAATGACGTCATTTAAACGACAGCAGACGTCAGTATGCTACCTGGGACCTAACTCTAAAACGCATTTATTATTCTTCATGAAATTTTGGATAAAAATACTTCAACTTATATCTCAGTTTACGTGTTCGAGGGTTTTTCGAGAAAATATTTTTAAAGCCCTTTTATTTAATAATGAAAAAACGTTCGAAAAATAACTTTTAGGGTAATTTTTTTAAGTAAATAAAAAATATGCTGTTAAAGACCGTATTTTTGTTAGTATACCTACCCTGAAAATTTTGTACAAATCAAATAAACAGCAATGAAGATACAGCGATTCAAAGTCGTCAAAAATTACCACTTTTCAGCAAAATAATCAGAAGCGTATTAGGGGGTATACTACACCTTTTCCAGTTGATATTCAAAAAGTAGGAATTGTAATTCAGTTATTCCAGTTGATATTCAGATAGTAGGAATTGTAATTCAGCTATTCCAATTGATTTTAAGAGAGTAGCATATGTAATTCAGATAACACAATTGATTTTAAGAAAGTAGCAATTGTAATTCAGATAACACAATTGATTTTCAGAAACTTGCAAATGTAATTCAGAAAGTAGCAATTGTTTTTCAGATTAAATAAAATGTAATTTAGCCGCAGCAATTGTTTCAGGAACAGTGAGTTGCATACAGTAAATCAATGATGAATGAACGTACACGTTATCTTTATTAACTAAGCAAATGAAATTTATATAAAATACAAATTAACAAAATTCGGTCCTTACTTGCAATAAGTTGACAATTATGACAAATATATCTACTTAAATGGTGATAAATTTGTTTATTATTGTCAATTCCATGGAAACAAAGCAATATACAAAGAAATACATTAAATTGAGATTTTAGAAAATAAGTAAAATGAAGTATGAAAATGTTATCATTTGTTAATTTCTGAATTTTAATTGACATATTTTGAATTACAATTGTTACTGTCTGAATACTATTTGTAATTTCTGAATATCAATTGCTACTGTCTGAATATCATTTGCAATATTTGAATTATATCAGCTACTTTCTGAATATCATTTGAAATATCTGAATTACATTTTCTATTTTCTGAATTTCATTTGCAATGTCTGAAAATCTATTGCTGCTTTCTGAATATCAATTGCTACTTTCTGAATATCAATTGCTACTTTCTGAATATCAACTGGAAAAGGTGTAGATCAAACAGCAACTCTGTATGTGATTGTTATATATGTGATCTTGCTCGAAAACCAGCATCTGGAAATTTCGCAAAGGGTAATATTTTGCCTAAACGAATTAGTATACTGGCGGATACGACGAATGTACAACTTGCAGGTAGGATATTGTATCGAATTTATTAAAACATTTAAATAATTTAGGTTAATTTTATTGCAATAATGGTCTTTATTTTTTTAAATACAAATTTTATTATTTTTGTTTTATTAAAATGTTTTATGACTACTTTTAAATACTCCATTTCTAATAATTCCTTTACAACTTTTAATCTTTAGAAATTATTTTAGAAAAAGAGAAGATACATTGTATCGAAAGTCGTTGCAGTTATTGCTGCTCAATTATTGGAAAAGGACTATCTCATAAATGTAGCTTCAAGCTAGTCAAGCTACTAGCTTGACTACGCGCATGGAGAACTTAACGGAATATATCCTAAGCTCAAACAATATTTACGGCGCAATCTGGTCGAATTTGGCAAAAACGTGCTATTTATTAAAAATTTTATTTTTAATATTTTAACCTGAAAACGCCTTTGCGATAACATAATAATCAAGTTAGACATGATTTTGCCAAATCATGGTGTTTTCATTGTTTAATTAAATGTCAAAGTTGCGCTATTTTTGGCGTTTTCATTGCGTTTTTATAAACCACAATACAATGGCTTGACTTTAGATGTTCTTAATTTTTTTTTTAAGAAATATTTTAAAAAATAGTATGGAGGAAGACCACACAGGTATGTTCTCATTATATACCAAAAATCTTGGATAAAGTTTCTACTGTGACAAACTTACAAGACATTATGTGAGTTGATGTTATTTTGTTTTAAAAATGTTTTAAATAGGTACTAAAATTCTTAAAGCATTTTCTTAATGATTTCAACATATTTTAGGCTGGTTGTTTGTATTCTATAATGGGTTTTTATATGATATGAGTTAAAAAACCCTATACCAAAAATACCCCTAAAAAAAGGCCTAAAAATAAACAATTACTTAAACATATAGTATGTAAAGGATTTTTTCTACGACCACTATGTAAAAGTCACATTTCGTAATGGCATCGTTGCTTAGAAAATGAATCTTTTCATTGGCAAGGCAAAACACGAATGTAAAGTGACATTTCTGTGTGAAAAGTGACAGGTCTGTGTGAAAAGAACCGGAAACCATCGTTTGACATTCAGCTGTCAAAAAAGTTTTTAGGTTATTTTGTTTTGTATTTAAAAATAATAAAAAATAAAAGGGTCGCAGAAAAAACATTGTGTTATACTTGTGAGAAAAGCTTTCTTCAAGCTCGTGTTAATGCACACTCGGGTAAATTTACAAAATTATAATACAAACTATTGAAAAATCAGGCAGAGGATATTAATTGTTTCATGTATTCTTCTTAAAGTACTTGAAGCAAAGAAAAGGCGTTATCCCGAAAATATGCATGTATCCGAAAGTGTACCGGAAGTTCCATTCTGAATTCCACTACTAAATCATATAAGAGACTTTGGTTAATAAAAACAATATTTTAAACTTAACTTTAAATTGCAAATGGGGATTTGACGGATCATCCGGCCAATCAGAATACAAGCAACGATTTCAAGATGTTTCATTGTCAGACTGCAGAATATTTTTTACATCTTTAGTACCCATAAGGCTCAATCTTAGTTCCAAATCTGACGTAATAATATGGCAAAACTGCAGAACATCGTCAACAAGATTTTGTCGAACAATAAAAATTCAATTCGCTCTAGAGACAAAAGAACTAACATTGGCCGAAAAACAAAAAATTGGTAAACAATTAAATTCCTTTTAAATTTATTTTACCTGAAGATAATATAGGTATTTTTCTAACATTTAACTTATATTTGACAATGATATACAGTAAGGTGAGAAATGCTTTGACGGAAAACAATTCTACGCAAAGATGTTTTGTATGTGGCGCATTCTCAAAATACTTCAATAATATTGATGTTATTCTTTATAGACCCGTTATTAATAGTGATTATTTAAAATAAGTGCTTGTAGCATTTAGCTTACAAAATCGATATTAAAAAGTGGCAGGCTCGAAGTGACGAAGACAAGCAAATAAGACTAAAAAAAACTTATTCAAGAACAATTGCCCAAACCAGGTTTTGGTTTGTCAAATGATGGCAACACGGCTCTCATTTTTTTTAAATACAAGCGTTTTTACTGTTTTGCTGTGAAATTGCTCAAAATCTTGTACAAAGATTTTATATCGTATTACAAACATTATCTGAGGAAGCACAGGAGGCAAGAAATTAAGATATCAAAAATTATCGAGCTTTTTAAGAAAAACCTCAAGAAAAAATAACCTATTAAATATTTTTAGTTGCCTTTTGTTTCCTCCGACCCAGTTATTTCTGGTTTACGTAAAACACCCGCTAAAACAAAAAAAGTATTTTGCCTGAAGCTGTAGCTTTACTTAATTTTTCAAAGGTTAATGAAATTTTTTAAAATTTACACGAAGCAATAGGCTCTTCACATGAAGAAGTGAACTAGATATAATTGTTGGAAAAATAATACATATAAAAGGTTAATTTAGGCAAATTATGAATAGAAATTTAATTTTTACATTTAAATGCTAAAAAAACAATTAATAGCACGTTTTTGCCAAATTCGACCATTGTGCAGCGGTTGGGAGTAATTTGGTCTCCATTTTTATACGAATATTAACGAATTTTAATGGAATGGTTTTTATGGCGGTACGGCTTTCAATCGTTTCAGTAATTTAATATTACACATATCACAGCTTTACCTATCCGTAAATTTTTAAATCTGTTTTTATTTTTTTCCAATATTTTTATAATTTAAAATTTTTTTATGTGTATTTTTCACCACAGATTGCATTAATTTATTAAAATATTATTTTTCACCACTAGCTAGCTAACGACCATATTATTAGGTTTGTTCCTACTGAACATTTTGACTATCATGATTCATGAATATGTACAATAATAAAATTGCGCGAACAATTTTAGTATTGTGAATGTTCCTGAGTTCCACTGGAAAGTCTTAATGATTATCCATAAATTTAAAAATAAAGTATAATACATAATTTGTTAAACTTACCTAAAATGATTGAACGAATGTTCATTTACTATATCTAGCTGGTCTCGAAGTTGTAAAGCATAATCTGCCATAGCTGTTACATGCTTAAAGTTCTTCATATCACATGTATTTTGGGTTAAGCCTAAAAATGTATTGATTTATTACTATACTTTTTTGTAGTAAATCGATATTAAATATTTTATTTTTATAGGGTACAAAGGGTAGTTTTGGATGGCAAAAAGATATGCTTCTTAATACTTTGCATAGGTACTTGAATGTGCCATTATGGAATGGATGCATTTAGTATAAGGTCTCAAGGGATTCTACATAAACCGGTTTGATGGTACAATAACCTCTTCTATTGACAAAGACTATCCAAATCCTTTTAAAAATATATTTTATTTTATTTATTTGATTTCTTTTGTTTATTTTTGGTCAGTTATAAAATGTAATGCTCTTTATCATATTGAAAATACCATACCAGAGGCTGCCATATAAGTAGCTCCAGTCGACTTAATTTTTTCAATAAATTTAAATCGATCCTCAGAAAGAAGTTCATCAAAATCGGCAATTATTTCATTTAAAAGTCTTAAACATTCCACACCTTCATTGTTTCCTTCAAGTTCGACATAGAACTCTGAAAAATTTGGAATTGATGCAAACATAATGCAAACACAATCGCATTGTTTGTGATATAGTTCCTAAAATAAAAGAATATATTTTTAAAATTATATACAAATTGTGCCAGAAGTCGCGCACAACCTTAAATGATCAACGGACCCCAGGAATTACAGAAAATTGTTTAAAAAAATCTACCTTTGTTATTTAAAAAGATATGTACAGAAAATGGCAACATTGAGTACTAATACATTTATAGATTTATTCTTAATCATCATGATAACAAACAACAATATTAAAAAGTGTCAGATTTGTTACTTTTACTTAGAGGTTATACCTCAGACATGATAGAAGCAAATACAGGGATCCCTGTATTTGCTTCTATCAGTCTCTGTCAGGAACTTATAAAACCATAGATTAACTAACAAATATTAACATTAAATTGACATAAATAACTGGCATTTTTTAAGCATTCTCCAAACATTACATACATACTCAGTATCAATAACACTATGATAGTTTTAGAAACTTTTTTTTCCTAACATTGAGTACTCCAGCTTAGTTTAACTAATTTTGGGCCGCTGGTTTCAAAAATGTCATTTGTTTTTCTTTAGGACGTCTAGGATTTAAAATTATAATAAAATATAAAATAATAATCGAAGAGTAATGTTTATACCGAAACCCATTTACTCTGTTGCCTTTTTAATTTAATTATTAATTAAAAAAAACTACACAAAAAGACGTCCTGGAGCAAAACGAGTGGCAGTTTTGAAATCAGCAGCCCAAAATTAGGTACCTATTATAGGTGGGCGTACTCAATGTTAGTAATTTGAACAATCATAGTGTAATTAACAAAAATGCTATGAGAGAAGTAAAAATCCTAAAATGAATTTATGCATAAGATGAAACATTAATTCCTAATAAAACCATGGTTTAAACATTTTGTATATTTGGCATAATATATATAATATATAGTAAATATAGTAAAGGAAAACATTTTTTTTTAAGTTTAAAAACTTAATGTTTACGCTCTCATATCTTTAAATAAGTATATAGTAAAACTCGATTTTTTTTTAACAATTATTTGGAACTCCTGAGGGTCTGTAGATCATCCAGCTTCAAGGTAGTGCACGACTTCTGGAACGTCCTATATAAAAATATTCTATTTAGAGCAAGGCGTCGTTAAACGTCGTTAAACGTCGCCCCTATTAATTTTAAATAACATTTAGTGTAACACCATTGTGCTCATTGAAACTTAGATTTTTTCGTAATTTCAGTAAGAAATCTCTCAGTTTCTAATCTAATCAACCGTTTGAGGATTTTTTCTGCTCCAAAAGAGAATTTTAAAAATCGGCTGAAGGTTCAAATGTTTAAAATTATAATTTATTTTAAAATAAAAATAGACGTAGATTGTTGTTTGCTTAATTTCCTAAATATAAGCTAATAAATCAGTTTACTTGCAAATTTGTACTGTCAATCTAAAGAGTCGCTTCAAAAATGTTACCACCTTAAAATATACTTATTGAGGAGTTGCCACAATAAGTTTTATTCCAGCCCTAGGGCGACTGTAATGGGGATGTATTATAGAAAGTGTTAAGCACCCTATTTTACAATGAATGTTGGTTGAATAGTTTTATTGAACAAAAATTATTTAAAAATAAGATTTTTTTAATATGAGTGAGTTCTAATTCTTATAAATAATTTTTGCATCATAAATTAGTATTTATGATGCAAAAACTATTTAGTCATCAGCGCCTCTTTTATAATAATAATAATAATAATAATAATTTATTCATGTTACTATACAAAAGTACTTACATTTGTCAAAATTAAAAATAACAGCATAGATTTTAATTAATAATCATACATAAGAAGGTATATTACTTTACACAAAAAGGTACATTACTTCAAAACAATAAAAACAGACAAGTGTATATACATATATATAAATATTTAACAAAAGTTGAAATGTAAAAACTCATCATATGAATAAAATGCATTTTTTAATAGTAAACATTTAACCGCTGACTTAAACGACTTAAGATCTTTGGTTTTTATGTTCTCTGGCAATTTATTAAAATATTTAGGAGCTAAAAAATGTATATGCTTCTGACTTTTTGTTAGTCTGCAGAGTGGTAACCTTAACCTTTTGCTATTCCGCGTGGTGTTAGTGTAGTTGGTTTGGTTTACAATAAATTTTTCCATGTTTATTTTTGTATACACTAGTATTTCTAGTATATAAATACAGGGTAGTGTAAGGATACCTAGTTCTGAAAATTTAGTTCTACAGTTTTCAGAATATTTTAGTTTGCCAACTATTCTTACAGCCTTGCGTTGTAGAGAAAACAATATTTTCCAGCCCGCAGATTGCCCCCACACCAATATGGCATAGGACAAAAGAGAGTGGCCCAATGAAAAATAGGCTGTCTTAAGAACTTTGTTTGAGACTGAGTTTGCAATATTCCTTAAAAGATAGATGTGCTTGCCAAATTTCTTGGCAACCTCATCTAAATGATAGTTCCACTGAAGTGTTTTATCAATAATAACCCCCAAAAATTTTGCGTGCTCGCTAAAAGCAACTTGATTATTTATATGTTTACCTAACGTAAAAAACATATTTACTGTTTTTGTTTCATTTAAAGTCAAATAATTATTTTGAAACCAGGTAGTAGCTCTCGACTGTGCATTCACCGACGCATTAACTAAATATTCTGAGTCTTTTCCTTTTACAATAATGGTGGTATCATCAGCGAACAGAATGTGATTAGCTGTGTGGTTAAAGTTGGGTAAATCATTGACATAGATTAAGAAAAGCAATGGTCCAAGGATAGAACCCTGGGGAACCCCATAGTCAATCACATCCCTATCAGACATTAACCCATTTACTCTAACCTGCTGTACACGGTCTGTTAAGTAGGATCTAATCATATTAATAGCATTAGTTGTGAAATTATAGCTTTTTAGTTTACCAAGCAATACTTCGTGAGTTACACAGTCGAACGCTTTGGACAAATCACAAAAAACAGCGACCAGATGTTCATGTTTCTCGAAAGAGTCTATTATTTTTTCAACCAATTCCAACACAGCCAGTGTAGTATTTTTTTTTTTCCTAAAACCAAACTGATTTTTATAAAAAAGATTATTTTGTTCAAAGTAAGTTATAATCTGTGTTGCTAGCACTTTTTCAAAAGTTTTGGAAATTATTGGTAAGAGAGATAATGGCCTATAATTGTTAAGGTCTTCAGAATCTCCTTTTTTAAAAATAGGAATAACCAAAGCTTCCTTTAGTTTGTTCGGAAATATATTGTTTTCTATACATAAATTAACTAATTTGGTTATTGGTTCAATTATAATATTACTTACACCCTTGAGAACATTGGTACTTAAACCATATACATCTTTGGTGTTAGAGTTTTTTAAGGATTTTATGATATCTCTTACAATATTAAAGGTGGTTGGTAAGAATTCAAATTTAAGAACTGGGTCTATGACAACATTGTGAACCTCTTCGTTTGGTTTTATTTTGTTTACTAAGTTTTTAGCTATATTAATAAAATAGTTATTAAATCTATTTGGAGAAATGTTATGTTTTTTGGGTTCAGTTTTATTATTTCGTTTATCATTAATAATTTCCCACATGGTTTTTAGAGCAGAATTTGAGTTTTTTAATAAAAAGTCATTTGCTTTTATTTTTGCAGTTTGAATAGCGGTTTTATATTTTTTCTGGTAATTTAATTTTTGTTGTTTTAAATAAGAACTCTGAGGGTTTTTTCTACATAGAACATTTATGAAAAGCAACTGATTTCTCATAAGTTTTAAGTTATCATTGAACCAGCTCTGGTCATAAGATAATCTAGGTTTACAAGCCATTTTTTTAACTGGAAAAGAGTGAAGATAAGAGTTTAAGAGATGTTCAATAAATCTATCAAATTTTTCATTTACAGATAAATTATTACATTTTATAAAGTCCCAAGAAATATTTGAGATTTCATCAAAAAATTTATATTTACCCATTTGAGTTATGGGTCTACATTCTTTTTGCACATAAGCAATTTTACGATTATTTTGAGCTGCTGGTTTAAAGTTTAAAATCTGTCCTGAGTGGTCAGATAGGTTAGTTTCTATAGTATGTGCAAAGCTTCCCTTAGTATTAAAATTAAGGAAAATATTGTCAATACAATATTGACCTCTTGTTGCAGTTTTTATCATTTGTTTTAGGTTATACGTTGTTAATAAGTCGATAAATTGTGCACATTCTTTATTTTCATTATCGAAACGCAAATTAAAATCACCAGCAACAATTATATTCTTGAATTCAAGCATACTTAAAGCTTTTTAAATTATACCAAGAAAACTTGAGGATGGTGATCTATATACAGATAAGGCAGCAGTATTTAATGAATGAACAAAAATGCAAGATATTTCACAGATTTTTTCAGCAGACAAACATTTAATATTTTTTAACCGAGTAAAATTTAAGTTTGGTTTTATTAGTATCACAGACCCTCCACCTTTAAAAGTTTTTCTTGAAAAGGATGAAGCAACCAGATAGTCAGATATTTTAAGCAGTTCCATCTCACAGGAGTTGAGCCAGTGTTCAGTCAAACAAACTATGCTTACATTTAAATCACAGAGAAAAGCCTCAGCTTCGTTTATCTTGTTTCTGATTGAACGTGTGTTCATATGTAGAAGTTTTGTGTAGTTATTACAGTCGTCAAGGTTTGTAACTTTTACTTTTGATTTTCTATGTCTAGGTTTGCTTGAAAATTTCGTTTCGTGTAATTTTTAAATTTTTGAATGACAATGTTTTGTGGCCAGAAGTTTTGATCCAAAAGTTTTTCACTTTCATTACCGGGTATTGATACCTTAAAGCTTTTGTAAGTTTTTGATTTAACTTGCAACTCTTCGCATTTAACTTCAATGTTTATTTTGGATTTAATATACTTAATAACATCCTCATCAGAAAACTCCAATCCTATCTTAGATACATGAACATGTGATAACGGCATAAAGGCTCCGAGAGAAGGACATGCTATTCCTGTACCATATTTTATAGTTTTTGGTTTTTTTGTTGTTTTTATTA